TGAACTGTGGGATCATTTAAAAATTAATCACATAAAGGTTTTCAAATAAGGCTACAGAAGGATGCTTTTTAAAATGTCTAATTATAAAATTTATAAAAACTTATAAAAGTTCTTATGTATTTTTCATATTTCTTTATTTTTTGTAGACAATATTTTTTCTTTTTTCTTTTAGTGGTATTGGGGATCAAACTCAGGACCAGGCAGGCACTTATGCTGCCAAGCTATCTCCTCAGCCCAATTATCTCTTTTATATTGTTAAAATACCATATTTCCCGGAAAATACCAGTTTGATATTTTTTTACCAGCAGATGCAAGGGGGCTTATTTTCAAGGGATGTCTTTTTTCATATACAGTACTCCATGTTTACTCACGTGCAACAATCTACCTTTATTCTTTTATTCATGCACACAAATCCAACTTGTCCATTGTCACGCTTTGTATCTAGGTGTCCCCTCTGAAACTTTACGCCGTCATTGAGCAGCTTCTAGGGCTTGTGATGAATTCAGGCTGCGATGCTGGGACTGTGGGGCGAGTGCTGCACCCGCCCTGGGGCGGGCGATCCGCACTACAGCGTGAGGAGGGCAGAGGGACTTGCAAGCTGCCACAGCCGCGGCCCTGCCCTTGGCTCTTTGCTGTTCTCTGCTGCCATGAACGGCTGCCCTCTGCCATGTGCCGCTCGGCCTCAGAGTCAGCCGAGTATGGACAGAAGCCTCCACGAACTGGGAACTAAATAAACCTTTCCTTCTTTAGTTCTAGCTGGGGTATTTTGTCCCAGCAACAAGAAAAGAGTAACTAAGACATTCACATACTAAACCCCACGTTTATTTAAGTAGTCACATCATCTTCTTTGGTAACATTGCCATAAATCTCCAAATTCCAAATTTAGGCCTGAATGTCCTGGGACTCGTTCCTATAGAATCACTGGCCCCAATCTCTCATGCCCAGCAACAGTGCTCTCCTTAATGAGCGCTTCTCGTCCATGCAGCCTGCTCGTAGTACACCAGCAACACAACTGTTGGCGATTCCATCCCATAAATTCTTCATCCATCAGGACTGGTTCAGAAAATTTCCATTAAACCAAGAGCAATCTGAAGACTTAGGAGATGAGTGGCAACAAAAATGACAGTCAAGAATGGTGGTCCATACGGAAGTGATGAAAAGTCACAGGCATCAAATATTAGAAATGTTTTATTTCACACCAGTAATTAGTACGCCCCTTACAACACATGGTGCATTGAATTGTGAAGATTTCTATTCATGTAACCACTACATGTGTTCATTATCAAGTGTGTATGTTATTTGTGCTCTGAGGTCTTTACTCCAATGACCACTTGAGTTCATCTGTTTCCATACACATTTACCTCTCTTCCAAAGGTGTTCACTTGGATACTGACAAATACTTTTATTTTATATACATATTGTCAACTTATAATTCAGTACTCTCTGTTGTGTGTTGCAACAGACATACTGAACGTGTCTGACTCATGATCTTAACTGGGGCTTATTTTTGAGCTAGGTCTTATATTACAAGTATCCTGAGAGCCAGCCAAATAGCTCAGCAGATTAAAGGGCCTGCTTAGGCAGATGCAGGGGCTGGGGGTTTGATCCCCGGGCCTGTGGAGCTGGCCCTCCCCGGGCACGCTGGGATGGCGACTGAGACTGGGCAAGGTGGTGCACACCTGTAATCCCAGCCCTTGGGAGGCTGTAAACAGGAGGATCACTATGAGTCCAATCTACACAGTGAGACCCTGTAGACCCCGTCCTAAATACAAAAACAAAGCAAAACAAGTATCCTGAAAAATCATGCTGGGCTTACTTTCCACTTAGCTCTTACTTCCCAGGAAACAGTAAAATGACTGAGTCCTAATTTTGTGAATGATACTACACCGCTCTGCATGTCACAAATGGCTGTTGAAAATAATACCAAGTATGAAACATAACTTTCATTTAAACAAAAGTGGTTCCAGTTTTTAACTAGAGCGCGCATACCCTGGTGCCTCCTGTTTCTTCCCATCTGTGGGCTGCAAAGAGGCTTCTACTGAAGATTCTGCTGCGTCTATATCCGAGTCTGTCTGCTTTCAAAACTGAGCCAGACAGAGCGGCACACACACCTATACTATCAGCACTTGAGAGGCTGAGGCAGGAGTGCTGTGAGTTCGAGCACAGCCTGTACTACATAGTGAGAGCCTGCCTCAAAAAACAAAGCAAAATGAACAAAAATTAAAGCTGTATGAAAGTAAATGTTTCCAGTCACTTATCCCTGAGTATTTTGTTACAGCAGCTTGAGCTCGGATATAACATACTCTATATAAAAATACATAATATGCACAATTTCATGTAGGTGAGGTAACTGGTTTCATGCTGGTCATATAATCACCCTGTACACTGTAAATATGAAATGATGAAAGTCTGAACCTTAAAACTGTGAGCAATCCATATACAAACATTTCCTACAGGACATTAAAATTGAAGTCCTAAGAGATACGTATTGTAGAAAAACTTAAAATGACAACTTAAATGGCCTACAGTGGCTAAAGACATCACTTAAGACGTTCACAGGGGGCTACGTGTCACTGTGCTTTCTGTACTTGGTTTTATAAATGTAGCATCCATCACGCTAATACACGAATAGTCTAGTAAAAGCATGGCCAATGACTGCTTGAAAAATCTGACAGAAGCGATAGTGCTTTCATACTTGTTCCGTTATAAGCAGGGTTTTCGTGTTTCACAGCAAACAGAACGATATTTATAATGGCTTCACTTCAGAACAAAAACAAAGGAAAAGCATTAACAGGTATTTTAAAGGGAAACTGAGACAGGAGGACCACTGTGGGCTTTGAGACCAGCCTGGGGTATATAGTGAGTACAAGGGCAGCCTGCAGTACAGAGCAAGACTAGATGGAGAGGGAGACGGAGATGGGAGACGAGGGGAGGGAGAAGAGGGGCATGGGGAGAGAGTAACGACAACAACAAAAAATAACGTGCTACTCTGGGGTAAGACTGCTCAGGTCTGAACTCTTGCTCTGCCGATTAGGAATTACATAACTTTTGAGTTCTCCTGCTTAAGCCTCATATTGACTATTGCTAAAATGAAAACAGCAACAGTATCTTGTATGTTCACAGGGACAATTCTGTGTGTGACAAACATCTAGCATAGAACCTGCAATATGATTACGTATGATACAAATCCGCTTCTTTTTAAATGTGACACTACTGTTACTTACCAATCTGTGTCAATGTTGGTATTCTGAAATAGACGGATGTGGGACATCGAGTTAGTCCTATTGCACTCGCTTCCCTCGAGGGCCCTCTGCAGACCCTCAACTATCTTCTCCTCTTCTTTAGCTTTGCTTTAGCTCCAAAATTGAACCAGCAGTCTGCCACATGGACAAGAGTTGTTTTCCTAACCCCCATGACCATATTTTTCGAGGCCACCCTTCGATGACTTTTGTTTCACCTACCTGCTGTCCCCCCAGTTTAGCCTGTTACCACACCCGCCAGGATGCCCTAGCACACATTTCTTACACCTGCTAGACACATGTGGGAAAAACATGACCCTGGGCTAATACAGGGATTCTACTCTTACAGGGAGAAAGCCGAAGGCACTATCGTACAAGCCTCCCCAAATGCTGCTTCTCATTTTAAGAAACTACACCTTAAATAATCAGAGACATCTGTCAAAAACATTTGGATTTGAAGACAGCAGGTAGATTCACTGTTCCTGCTGGAGTTGGCAAATGATAACTTAGAAAGTAGAACCAGGAAGAATAAAATGGCTGGGTACTGAGAATTCTAATAAAGACAAGGATCAAACGAATTTTAGAAAGTTCCTAAATCAAAGAAACACGTGAGGCCAGGCATGTGGTGCAGGCCTGCAATCCTAGAGCTCAGGAGGCTGAGGTGGGGTAGTGCAAGTTAGAGGCCAGCCTGGGCTGCACAGTGAGTCCAAGGCCAGCCTGAATTACACAGTGAGACCCTAGCACAAAAGAAAAACAGCAACAAAAAA